TACAATAATAACACCCATCTCCACAACACTACAATAAGCTAACCACACTCTAACATTATCTTGGAATAAATACCTGTGGTTATGTGACTCAGCTAATTAATTAATTGTTATAGTATAGTATAGTATAGTATAGTATAGTATAGTATAGTATAGTATTGACAGGTATAGTACCGTATAGTATAGTACCAATATATTTATAGTGTCTGTCTACTCAATCGTATATAGTAGCAGAGATTCTATTACAGTTCATTAGCACTTTCAGTAGAGGCAGATGTGTGTCATTAATTGTAATAACGTCAAGGAGATCTTTGTCCTTGTCGGCAATTTTCGCATTGTTGCTCGGGCTCTTATCCCCAACCCCTAAATCTAATAAAGTTCCTCATTTTTAGACATTCTCTAACATGTAATAATTTTAAAAAAATTTGTTATTCTCAGTAATAAAATAATCTTAAATATTTACCAGTACCTGTCATAACCCCTACAACGCCATACAAATTAATAAAACCAAAGCTGCTATCCAACTGACTCATTTTCTTTAACTCCGTCAGTGATTCAGTGATTAGAATAGCGTATCACAATACGTGTAGGTCTAGACTGGGTTCCAGTCCCTAAACTTTTTCTATCAGTGAAAATGCTTAAAAATAAATCGATTTTGGCACCAATGGTGTTCCATATTACTTATTTGCATGGCGTTTCATAATATACTTTTCCTGGGATTAGGAAGGTGGTCTCTATTCCTCTCAGTCTCAGTCGCCTCATGCATAATATGAACTTATTAGCTGTCACGCTACACTGAGTTCGGTTATGAATATTTATAATCAACAGAAATTTATCGCAATAGCCCCTAACTGCTACACTCTACCGTAGGAAGCGTAGCTTGGCATTGTGCTCTAGTCTCCTTATACTTCACTTTATGTACCGTATTTATAGAGAGCCGAGCTCTAGCATGGATCCTCCATTCATCACTGTTGCGCATTGCTGCTAGTTCATTTGTCTCTTCTAATCCAGAATTGATTTCCAGGTTATGACTGTTATGATTCTGGTTAGCATTTCTTGGACCGTGTTGTTTTAAGTTAACAAAATAGAGGTAGCCTGCCTCGATGGTTTTTTTCTTCCTTTTTGGGGTTGAGAAAAAAGTGGGGGTGGGTGGTGATGCTAAACAAGTATAATTTTTGGACTTACTACTAAATGAAATCATTATTTCTCTGTATTTCCAAACATTTTATTTTATTTTCAAAAGCAAAAAGTAAACAGACAAACAAATTTCATGATGCAGTCCACACAGTAGACCCAAGCATAAAATTTAAATGACACACTGTTGGCCAAACAAATTTATATAAATTGAACCATTAAACCCACATAATAGTTGCAACATAATAGTCATAATGTGGAAGCCCTTTCCATCCACAGTAAGGCTGGTAAGTAGGCCTATCAAGCTTAAACTTATCAAATCTTATAATGCCTATTATAGTGCTACACAGTCAGCCTGAAATTTACTTGACCTGTATATTTCTACATGTTACTTATAAATTAATCTGAATAAAATAAAATAAACCTATTTGATTTTGTCATTTCATGACATACCATTAAAGGCAAATCAATGACATCATGAAATCATATTTATCAAACAATATATTTAATAGTTACGGTAGAAGCGGTTGGCGCATCGGTTGTGGCTTAGACGTAGGCCTACTCCAAACCTTGAGGTCAGGGGTTCGGAACTCTCGCTGTGTGCAAGTCACTTGTGTCCTTAGGCAAGGCACTTTATCTACGTTTGTCTCTCTCTACTACCCAGGAGTATAAATGGGTACCCGGTGGTTTACTACTGGGGCGGCGTGGAGAGGAACTCCACCCTACCACACAATACCGAGGCTTGTACAATGGGCTCATTCCCCATGCCTAGATGTGGTCTTTTTCTCGTACCATGGACCATGCTCGTACCGTAGGCTTTTCTAGGTTTGGCTTGCACTACCTCTAACTCTGAATATACTACTAGGCCTACATTGACGTCACCTAGGTCTAGGACGGACTAATTCCTCTTCCTCTTTTTACTCATTTTCTCTTTCACATCAATGGTATCTACTGTCTACACGGCGAATCTTTTGAGGAACAAAATACTAACCTACTAGGCTATACCCGCTGGCACCGCACTTGCCTAGAAAATTTGCAGTTTGCCGAGAAGTTTCCAGTTGATTATAAATATTCATGCAAGCTAATGAGTTTACATTATGCATGAGGCGACTGAGACCGAGGAAGAAGAGACTACCGATTAGGAATCTAATTCACATCAAAAAGTTTCTCGACATAAACTGACGCTGGTGGCGCTTTCCGAAATGTGCTAATACAGTACTACGAAAAATCAATAAATTAGAGACTTGCGGCAATCAAAAAAGTTTCTCGACATAAACTGACGCAGGTGGCGCTTTCCGAAATGTGCTAATACTACGAAACATTAATAAGTTAGAGACTTGTGGCATGTCTAGTGTAGGTCTAACATCAGTCACATATTACGGTCACGTAAATGATTGATGAGCGAGAATGGAAATACGGTTTAGGTTTACTTCATTTTTGTTGGAATCAACATCGCAATGCAATGGTCAATGGTTGTGCACTTGCATAGCGCATATAACAGTAGTCTGTATGCGCTCTCCAAAACAACGGAAAAGAAAAAAAAATGTTTAATTGTTGAAACAGCAAACAGAAAGTGATAATAGAAAAACAACACAAAAGTGAAAAGAAAACAAAACAGGAGAGTGGAGGAAAATTAGAGATTGTCAAATAAGAATGATTTAAGACGGCGCTTAAAGATCATTAAATTAGGAGAATCTTTAACTGATTGTGGAAGTGAATTCCAGAGCATGGGGGCCAATAACTGAAAAGGACCTTTCTCCGTAAGTCTTCAAATGATAGGTATATGGTCATAAATGTAATGGACCTTAATATCCTTTTACATTTAGCAGAACAATCAGTTCCGAGATGTAGTGAGGATTAGAATGGTGCAAGGACTTAAAAGCAGGTCTCCATCCAAAGATTTTGTTTGGACCGGGGTTTTTGTGGATATAGCAGCTTTGGTCTCTAATTAAAATCCCTCTAATCAAAGACCAGCATTAAAAATGGTCTTTTTCTATTTAGATGGAAATTCGAAATCAACACATTAAATATAAGTATAATTGTTTTATTCCAACTGTTTTAGAATTAATACAGTTATTGTAAGCTGTTGTTGAATTCTTAATGAAACATTTTTAATATTTCTCACAATAGATTATTCAAAATAAAATCAAATAGACAACTGTTTTAAAGGTTCATTTGATTTTAATTAATAAAACAATATCTACTAAACAAATACTATACTTCAACAAGACTTATTAACTCATTAACCATAAGTTGAAGGTATAGAGCTATAATTCAGATGAGCTGTTGTAAAAAAGGAGGTTATCTTCTGTTTAATAGGATATGCCTTCACCCATGGTCAAAATAAAACAATCTACGGCCTACGCATTGTTTAACCAAAACATCTTTTCTTTACTGTCAAAATAGAATCAGGAAGAAAATTCATTTCATATTATTGAAACTTTTGTGAAAGGATGCAATGTGTACAAGGATTTTTTTTAAATTACTTATTTAGGCACACAATGTGCCAAGGATTGTCAATAGCGAATATATCATTGTCCTATTGTAGGTGACAATCCCTTACACAAGACAAACGTACACGCACGTTGCTTCACACAAACTAAATCTCAATATGAGAATTAGGGAGTGGAGTTGTTTTGGTCGTGAGAAAAAATCCTGCAACACTGCCAGGAATTGAACCAAGGATGAAAATGCACCCTAATAATTTCTGCAAAATAATAAAAGAAGTTCTAGGACACATTCCAAAACAAATAAATATGTCAGCTTGTTTCTAAAGCGATGTTGAAACTGAGATAGAGCTGTCATCACTGGGAAGACAGTAAATAGAGTAGCAGGATATGGGATGAAAGTGCCATGCACTTTTATCTGCAGTGGAGACAGAGAATCTCTAGTAGGCCTATGGCTAAATACTAGGATTAAGATATGTGGATTGTGGAAAATAAAATATTATAAAAACTAGAAAGCTTCTAGCAGGGGATTGCAGAAATGAAATGGAAGTAGGAATAATGATCAACGGAATTGAGCACTTCTATACATTTAAAATGGAGAAAGTATACGCAAAATATCATCTTAGTAGAGCAAAAAAATGCATGGTATTATGATGTACGTAGAAATGTACACATTTATTTTACAAAAAATGCATTACAATTAGTATTTATTTTTTTATTATTATTTATAAAGTGGTCTTTAATTGGAGGGAAGATTTTCAGTCGGGTCCATCAAAACCTTGGTCTTTGGTCTCTAATTAGAGGGAGTCTTTAATTGGAGGGAACAGCTAATGATAAAACATAGGCGTTCAATCGGGACCACAAGAAAGTGGTCTTTAATTGGAGGTGGTCTCTCTTTGGAGGGGTCTTTCATTGGGAGACCTGTATATATAAAGAAGCACTTTGAAATTAATTTGCTGGTTGATTGGAAGCATGATTGGAAGCCAGTGCAGTTTCTTAAGTGTGGGACTAATATGTTCAAATTTGGGAATACCAGACAAAAGTCGAGCAGTAGAGTTAAGCTTTATATGAAATCTTCGTAGAAGGGTGCAAGGCAAACCAATTAGAACAAATATTATCATTAATATTTGTAACCGTTCTGAACTGAACTGTATTGGAAGCACATTTGTTTCAGTGACACACACCATGGCATCTGGTGGTGCATCTAAATTACAAAGAAAACACTTCACAAAAAAAATTAGAATATACAAAAATTTAAATTATGAAAAAGTAAACGTTTATGAGTGCAATGGAAGGAGTATCCATGAGCCGAATAGAGCAGTCCAACTTTCAATGAATTACTCAACCGTTGTACAAATACTTAAGGCATTCATTACTGTACAGTTTTAATCGCACCTAAATAGCTGCATATTGTGAAGAATGACAATCAAAGGTCATACGTTATTAGGTTGGAGAATCTGCCTATACAACATCAGATGCAGATTATTGCGGACAGAATCTCGACTTCAGAAAGTATTTTTGAATAACGATTCTTTAAAGATAACTTTATATATTGGTCAGTGAAACTCTATACTAGTTTTGGTGAGTTATATTTTATTATAAAAAATATGTCATATGTTATATATACAAATAGGCTACGTTTTAATTGAGAAGATTTTAGGATAAGACTGGTCCATTATGTATGTAGAAATGTACACAATTATTTTACAAAAAATGCATTACAATTAGTATTTATTTTTTTATTATTATTTATAAAGTGGTCTTTATTTGGAGGGAAAATTTTCAGTCGGATCCATCAAAACCTTGGTCTTTGGTCTCTAATTAGAGGGAGTCTTTAATTGGAGGGAACAGCTAATGATAAAACATAGGCGTTCAATCGGGACCACAAGAAAGTGGTCTTTAATTGGAGGTGGTCTCTCTTTGGAGGGGTCTTTCATTGGGAGACCTGTATATATAAAGAAGCACTTTGAAATTAATTTTCTGGTTGATTGGAAGCATAATTGGAAGCCAGTGCAGTTTCTTAAGTGTGGGACTAATATGTTCAAATTTGGGAATACCAGACACAAGTCGAGCAGCAGAGTTAAGCTGTATTTGAAATCTTCGTAGAAGGGTGCATGGCAAACCAATTAGAACAAACATTATCAATAATATTTGTAACGGTTCTGAACTGAACTGTATTGGAAGCACATTTGTTTCAGTGACACACACCATGGCATCTGGTGGTGCATCTAAATTACAAAGAAAACACTTCACAAAATAAAATTAAAATAAACAAAAATTTAAATGATTAAAAAGTAAACGTTTATGAGTGCAATGGAAGGAGTATCCATGAGCCGAGTAGAGTAGTCCAACTTTCACTGAATTATTCAACCGTTGTACAAATACTTAAGGCATTCATTACTGTACAGTTGTAATCCCACCTAAATAGCCGCATACTGTGAAGAATGACAGTCAAAGGTCATACGTTATTAGGTCCGAGACTCTGCCGATACAACATCAGATGCAGATTATTGCGGACAGGATCTCGACTTCAGAAAGTATTTTAGATTAAACGATTCTTTAAAGATAACTTTATACATTGGTCAGTGAAACTCTACTAGTTTTGGTGAGTTATATTTTATTATAAAAAATATGTTATATGTTATATATACAAATAGGCTATGTTTTAATTGTAAAGATTTTAGGATAAGACATTTATGTCTACTGGTCTGAGAATTAGATGTGTGAACCCGTCCATTCTTGACCACCACCCTCAATACAAAATACTGATAAATCATTAATTTACACAGTGTATCTGAGTAAGAAACGTCTTATAGGAAGACAAATGTATATTACGTTACACTAGTATTGTGATTTTCTTGTTGCACATCTCTTAAACAATTGTGCCTGTTACAAAAGAGAAACTATAAAGTTATTAATGTTATTATTATTTAATTAATGTAACACATAATCTGATAACCTCCATGAATTTTGTCGTTATTTATTAAAATCTATTAAAAAGTGGCCAACAAGCCAGCGGCAGGCACTCAGGGTGCCGTAGCGCCCTAGTGTATTGGAATAGGAAGGGGTGGCAGGCGGGAAAAAGAATTTCCAGGAGTTATCGGTGCACTTAGCGAGATCTTATTCTTATTAATGTGTGTGATGGTACCATAGAAAAAAAAAGCTTAAAAACATTGTCTTTGAGTATGTACTTTACATAGGACTACTTCAAAAACGTGATTTCACAACCAGCCATGGTGGGGCTGAGGTGAGAAAATTTGAGGAAATACCTCTCGAGATGGCCGGAAATGACACTTTTATATAGTAAAATTCATCATCATCACATTACCATTATAGTCAAAATGAAACGCCAACAAATTTCTCATGATCTTTTATCAGGGATCTACTTAATATCCAGGACAACTTAGGCCTAATTATAGCTTACTAAGCTTTAACTATATATTCTATAAAATTATGATCAACAAATCACAACTTTTTTTCGCATTTAGCATGATTTTCTTCACTTTTTATTGTTATTAATATTAATATCAATGATTACTATCGTCATCATCATCATTGTTATTATTATCATTACTATTAGTAGTAAACAAACATTTAGAGAAACTTGCAAAAGGATAAAAACGAAATTGAACCACAGTATCGCATTTCTATCTTAAAAGACCTGGCCTGAGATTTATGGATTTAAGATTTTTTTAAATCACGCTTAGGCCTATGTGTTTTATTAGGCCTATGTATAACGTGTACTGATGCATATTTACATGTTTAGAAGTATTCATTTTGAGTGATCCCAGGAAAGAATTTGTATTGGCTCAAGAATAAGCTTTAAAATTTTAACACTGTGTACAAAGGGTATCCCCCCTGGATACGTCCCTGTGCTGGAAGAATAAAGCTTTGGTCCTGTTTTACTCAACTCAGCGGTAGTGTATTTTATTTGTTCGATTTAACCACACCGTGAATGATAATGACCACTACGCCGGCTACTAAACATACCACACATTTTTGGCGGTGTGTCTATGCTTGTACTTTCTCTACATCATGCCATTATTAACCTTAGTTCGAACTCTGATCACGGAGTGGAAAGGGAAAGGGAATTGCACGCTACTAATTGTTGTGTTGTTGACTTTGTTCATGTTTTTAATGATTTCAACTTGCTCCACCACGATGTGAAATCTAGGCCTATACGTAGTACAGCTGTAGCATGGATTGGCATTCCAATGGATCGTTTTGTGTTGTATTCTAGACTTGCTGCGTCCTGCTGGGCTACACTGTTTTATGTTCCGAGCATTTGTTCTCATCACTCTCTGACTTTTGTTTTTCCTAAACGGAATAAATACAGTGCCCCTTGTTTATACTACGCTCATGCTGCTGCGACTTTTACTATACTGTTATTAAGTGGCGATGTGGAACCTAATCCGGGACCATCTGATTCGTCGGATCGATCTGAGCATAATAACCTGAATGTGTATATTACCAGAATATACGAAGTCTGAAAAATAAGGTAACATGTAACAAAACAGAACTTGTTAGTCATTTATTAACCAACAAATTCCAAGTTGTTGGCTTGTGTGAAATCTGGCTTAACGATACCGTACTGGATGTTGAATTGTCAGTTGCTGGATTTCATCTATACAGGAGAGACCGTGACGATGGTAGAAGACTGAGGAGGAGGAGTTTTGCTTCTGGTGTCCGATCGCTTTCATTCAAAGAGACTTCAGATTGCTAACTGTGCTAACCTAGAAGCCATTTTTGTCGAAATCCATGCCTCTCGTAGAAAGAAACTCATCATTGGCATTATTTACCGTCCTCCAGATAAGGATGCTTGCTACACTGAACTTATAAGCTCAGCATTGGAACAAATTTCTAGCCAGCAACCTGACGCTGATCTTCTTGTTTTTGGTGATTTTAACTTTTCTAATATTTTATGGTCTGAGGTACCATCCTCTCACAATGCCAATGAGCAAAAGTTTTTGGACTCTTTTTATCAGTGCAATAATGAACCTACGTGTTAATGTTTTAGATTTGGTGTTTTGCAATAAGGATATTTCTAAAAGTGTATTTTGTAATAATGATATTTTTAATTCTGACCATTCGTCTTTAATTTGTTCATATAGTTTTTATTATAATACCTATAATACTGCACGTAATATAACAAATTTCAAATATTTTCATAATTTTAAAAAATTAAACAATGTTGACCTAATTGAAACACTTAATCATATTCCTTGGAATCTTTTAGACTTGTGTAATAATGTGGATGATTCATTAGACCTACTTTATGATTTAGTTTTAGCTACGGTACTGTCCGAGATCTTGTTCCAACGTACAGACCTCGTAGAAAACTACCTTCATAGTTCGATGCTGAACTTCTTACTAGACTTAAAATAAAAGAACAATCTTTTAAAGATAAGAAAAATCATCCTACTGACTTCTATATTAGCTTTAAAATACCTCGTACCAATTTCAAAAAACTTTGTAGAAGTAAGTATTACTCCTACTTACAGTCACTTGCTAATGAAATTAAAAATAACAACAAAAACATTTGGTCTTGGATGAAGAAGTCTTATAAATCGAATGACTCTCAATCTTCAGCTTTGAACCATGGAGGTACATCTGTTTTTAAGCCTGAAGATAAAGCTGATATGTTTAATAACTATTTTCACTCAATCTTCAATGCTGGTGGTCCTTCTGAAGATCTTCCCCCTCTTCCCGACTATCCTCTTGGTAAACTTCGCTCTATTCCTATTGAGAGATCCCATATCGCTGATCTTCTTAAATGTATTGATACACGTAAAGCCACCGGTAATGATCTTATGCTTAAAAAAATTTTCAAACTTGGTGCCGACTCTTTTTCTTATCCTCTAAGCCGTATCTTTTATCAATCCTTAGCCCATGGAACATTTCCCGCTCTTTGGAAAAGGGCTGATGTCATTCCAATTCACAAGGGAGGTGACAAATCCCTAGTTAATAATTATCATCCAATTTCTTTACTTCCTACCCTTTCCAAAATTTTTGAACGCATAATTTTTCGTCACCTTTTTAATCATGTATCCCCTGTACTTAGCCCCTATCAACATGGGTTTTACCCTAAAAGATCTTGCCTTACCAATCTTACTATCGAAAGTAAAATCCAACTTGATATTATCTACACTGATTTTTCTAAAGTATTTGACCTTGTTTCCTATCAACTTCTTATTCATAAACTTTGTAAATTTGGTATTTCTGGCTCCCTTCTTAATCTTTTTATTAGCTACCTTAATGGCAGACAACAGCGTGTTGTCTTCCAAGGTCAAACCTCTGATTGGCTCACTGTACCTTCCGGAGTTCCTCAAGGCTCGATCCTTGGCCCCCATCCTTTTAAATATTTTTTATCAATGACCTTCCTCCTAATTTGTCCTCCTCTTGCTTACTCTTTGCTGATGATCTTAAACTTTTTAAAACTATTACTTCTCCTAATGATTCCAATTCACTTCAGAATGATCTTTGCAGTCTCTTTAGTTGGACCACGACATGGAAGCTGAGTTTAAATCTACCTAAATGTAAAGTAATGACAATTACCAACAAAAAAACGTTATATCCAATATGCATATAATATTAATAATCACATTCTTGAAAGAGTTGACCATCATAAAGATCTTGGTATTATTATTGACTGTCATTTAAACTTTATTCCTCAAGTTAATGCCGTAGTTAGTAAAGCTAATAGAATGCCGGGTATGATACGTCGTAACTGCTGGTGTTTTAAAAATTCTGAAACCTTGATTAAACTATACATCTCACTTGCTGACCCTCATCTTGAGTATTGTAGTGTTGTAACTAATTCGTTTTCTTCTACTCATTGTACTCGTCTTCAAAAGGTTCAGGATCGTTTTGTTTATTCTACTTGTCATTGTTCTGTGTTGTCCGTTTCCCTCCTTTCTCTCGTTTCTCGTCGTTCTGTCTTTGATCTTCAGTTTCTGTATAAGTGTGTGAATTCTCTGTTTGATTGTAACTTAATTTCCTTGTTCTCATTTCATGTTAAAGCTATTGGATGTCGTACACGTAATTCTAAATGTAATCTGCTTTATGTTCCATTTTGTCGTGTCAATGCTACCAAAAATGGTTTTATTTCACGTATTGTCTTCTTTTTAATAACTGTATTGTCCAAGACCTCCCTTGGTAGCGATAGCCCAGTGTGGATTGAAGAAATCTTGGACCTTAGTCGAATTATAATCAAATATAGGCCTCATTTGCATTACCTTTATGAAATATTGTTTCTACACAGCTTAAACATTTGTAGTTGTAGTCCCTAAAATAGCAATTATTTTGCATGTCGGATATAGGTGTCCAACCAAGACCACCATAAGGCGCGTTCAAGGAGAGCGTTACGAGATGCTTTTAAAGCCATTTGGAGTTGTAGTTTCTCAAGTTTATCAATGTGACATTTGCATTTGCATTTGCTCACAGAACTTGCGTAATTAATTGATGATAAAGCAATTGCTCTCCATAAAATATCCCCGAAATAAACCCGATTAACATCATTACATTTGCCAATTATTTAATATAATAATTCGATTACCTTTCTTAACTATATTTTCAAAATGAAGGTGTCACTTAAATTTCGTGATATATACACACCCTAGTATTTATAAAGAGTGAACTTCTGAAATATCATGATCGCCTAATTTCCAGAATTTATTTTTATCAATGCATTTGCCAGCAGGACTTATTGTAAGTCCAGCATTCTAAACATTTCGCGTTCATTATTAGCAATCAAGACAACGTCATCTGACCAAAAAAATCCCCCAAACCAAATGTCGTTAATTCTCACTCCAATAATACTGGATCTCAATAGTCTGTACATGAAGGGCCACCTTTTTTCAATATTAACAGATCAATTAACTTTTTTTTCGAGAATTTTTAAATGAGAGACTTTGCATAATTTCGCTTTTGTTAGTATGATTACCAACAATAATTGCTTTTTAAGCCTTATCATGGTCTTTCATTTTTATGTACTGTCTATGGAGCCTTTTGACGTTTTCCCTTTCTTTGTAGTACTGAGGTGCAGCACTACGCAAGGCGATAATCCCTTATCCGGCTGTATAGTAGGGTAAAGAGTTTACTGTTTTGTTTAGATAAACCAAACCCTTATAATACAACCAAGGACTTATCAGGCTTTCCACTTAAAAATTCTTCTATGTGTATTGTGCTATGATTGTACCCTAAACTAATTCCTCCATGATTGTACGTAGGTCTTAATCTTAATATAACCCTTTGATTGTGCGTCCCTGATAGTATACCGGTTCCCGTACCGGTTATGAAAATCATGCAGACTAATTCGAGAAAGAGTTTGCAATGCTTCGCCAGGAGTCCTCGTCGGCCATCAGATTTTGTGGGTCGCTAGTTTGTTGGTTGGTGTTCCTTGCCACAATATAATTGAGGGGTCTTCTCACAGCAGGCGATAACAAGCCAATGAGAAGTTTATGGATCACAGCTAATACAGACAGCGAAGACAACTTTGATATGGACGATTCATGTAAATTTTACCCCTTAGGCCAACCTCTTACCCGCCAACACACAAAACAAATTTCAAAATAACCTCTTTCCGTATTATTCCCCCCACGTCGTGGAAAACTGGGTCAACAACCCAGCACACAGTGTGGTGCCTTGTTGGTATTCTGTCTTATCTCTCTTTGTGCGCCGACAATTTACGTTGTAAAAGCATTAGACATTAGATGTAACCTGACTGTAGTTTTAATGAATATGATACAATGAGTACAAAATAAGACAATACACATTTTTTTTTATTGTTTTAATTATTGTAATGATTTTCATACATTGATAAAGTCGAAAACAAAACACGTGTCTCAGAAATGTATGGAACTTACGATAAAGAAGATATAAAACAGGTGAAACAGGTTGTATTAGTAATCAGAACAAACACAACGTAAGTTAGTAACACACCAAATAAATATTAAACCGATTTTAACTTTATAAGGCTTGATACACTGCTCATATTCATTGTTGATGTGTTAATATTTATCGATATAGAACCACTATATTGATCACATTTATTAATGTTTTTAGGCATTTTGATGATTTTGATAATGTAAAACAAATTCATTATTGTATTGCAGTTAATCCTCGTCGACTTAATTGACTTTGACTTCGTAGCCTACGTCGATATTTCAGACTAGAATAAACTATTTTCCAACTAAGCCATTTGTGACGTAGGCCTATATTTTTGTGCTGTCCAGTATATTACTGAACTAATTATAGGGCTTGTTTCTTTTATTATTTGTTATTATCGTCTATTATCATTCTTATTCATTATTACTTAATATCGTTATAATTATTTTATCGACATTGGCACTATTGACAATAGTAGTCTATAATAACATACACGTACCGGTATATGCCTTATTACTACAATCATCATTAAAATTATTATCATTGTTGATGTTCCTATTGTTATTACAGTATTGCCATTGTTATAACAAAAATAAATTAATGAATGATAAAAGTGTGATGATTGGTTATTATTCGCACACTCCCGAAGTAAAAAATAATAGACAGGTTACAGACTGCTGGTGGTAGAGGGTGTAGGCTATTAGTGACTTTAAAAATGTTGACCGGAACATAAAAAAGGCAAATAGTTGACTATAAAGAAACCAGTGGGAGGCTAGGTCTTGATAACAAAAATCCCAAAAGAGGTTTTGTTAAATTTATTTACCATCTTGGGATAGTGCTTAAAGTCAGACCCCGGATGGGAAACTTGATATGTTGTAGAATCGTAGAACCGTTCCTTAGTTTTTCGTCAAACAATTTTTTTCTGTCTTGGAAAAATCAGTTCTACAACATATCCACACTTTTTATTCCTCCTGAATCTGACTTTTCAAAAATCCATCCACCTAACCTTCTTGACTAATCAGAGCAGTTTCAAACTAGGACCTCCTCTAATTTATCGTACAAACAACGACTTTTAACTATATTTATATACGTTTTTTTGAGGAATTTGAGTGTTTTCCCCACCGCTTGCGTGTCAATGATTAACCAGTGGCGGATCCAGGAATAGACGGGGCTGGGAGAAGGTTTAACAGATAGACGGTCCATCAACCTCAGCCCCACCATGGTTGGGTATGAGGTTAGAACAATTATGATTATGGCACCTGTAGATGGTCGGAAATAGCACTCTCAGACTTAAATTTGAATGTAATTTCCTTTTTTCTCCACTTTTTTAAATATTTTTTTAAAAAGATTTGGGCATGGGGGGGGGGGGGCAGCAGATCTGCCCTTAAATCCGCCACTGTTCACCGCGTATAAACTCATCTTCTTTTTAAGTTTCACTAAAATCATCTTGATACAGCAGGCCTAGATTTAAATCTTCGCACCGTTCGCCATGGCGAATGCTAGACTGGTTAGAGCAAGAAATATAATAGTACGGTACACAAAGAAACGTCAAAAACAATACAGAAAGATATATTTGCTAGACAAATATATCTGATAATATGGTGTGATTGTCAATAAAGCTCTGGATCCTCTAACCATGGACCTATTAATAGGTCCATGCTCTAACCAACGTCCATCCCCAGCAGCAGCAGCGATGAAGGAATGTGATGATGACATTTTTCCTAATATATCTGTGCTTCTAGACTGTGCAGCACTATTCCCAATGGTGGTGCTCCTCCACTCCACCCCTTAAATTTGTAAAAATTATTTTAAAAAAGAAAAGAAATTTATATTCAAATTTTGGCCTGAGAGTGCCATCTCCGGCCATCATCTAGAGGTACCATAATCATAAATTTTCAATTTCCTTAGCCCCAACCATGGTAGGGCTCAGGTGTTATTGACCCTCAATCTGTGAAAGTCTGTCCCCTTGCCCAATCTATTCCGTCTTCCTAGATCCGAAAAACTGACAGTGGCGGATTCAAGTCCAGTGCTAAATTTTTCCAAAATTAGAAAAAAAAAATGGAAAAAAAGAAAAAGGTATTCAAATCTTTTGAGAGTTCAATTTCTGGTCAATCGGAGGTGCCATAATCATAAATTTTCTCCCCCAGCCCCAAACCATGGTGACTGAGGTGGTATCTCTTGTATCTGTGAAAGTGTATCCACGGCCCTGCAGTCTTCAAATCCCCTTTTCCGCCACTGAAAGCCGTTTAAGACATGTATTTTCAGAAATTGATTAAATAAGACCTCAAATTATAGAACCCCTTAGCGCACCCCACCCCTCTTGGAGCCATATTGGTCCACTTTCTACAAATTCAAACCCACCCAATAAAAATCGTCCTTACGGACCTGTAATAGGTACGATTTAAGATTCGGTTCGGATTTATATCTGATATTATCTTTAACCGAGGATTTTGTTTGTACACGCCGTGCACGACCAAACAATTTTGGTTTACATAACTGAGACAGCTATTAATATTATTGATACAGTTATTATTACCATTATTGTTTTTTATCTTTTAGATATTACAAGAATGAGTGATACCCAGGTTCGTGTGATTCTTTGGAGTATACCCCGCACTGTCTCCACTGCCTTTGTAAAATGCATGAGTAATCTAGATGATGTGCAAATTATACAAGAACCATTTGAGTGCGCATTTAAAGTGGGCCCAGAAAGTAAACGACATTTTCGTGAACATTTCGTCGCTAAAAGTGATAAGATAAAGTTGGAATGCGATTCTGGTTGTTGGGATGCAGACAAGGCCACTTACCAGTTTGTGAAAGAAAATATTCTGGAGGCAAATTATCCAGGTAAGAAAGTGGTGTTTGTTAAAGACTTTTCATACGCTATCACCTGGAAGATAAATATGTTGCCGAAGGGATATCGCCACGCATTCTTGATTCGAAATCCTGCCAAAACATTTGCATCTTGGAAGAAACTGCTTGTCGCATATAATGATGCATTGTCTCTTGGTACAAACCTAATGGAGAACAATGGTGCCAGCATTCCTGAGAAATACGGATTTGGAGAAAGTTTCGAACTTTACGAGCATCTCGTAAGAACAGGAATCGAACCAAACCCCGTCATTATTGATTCCGATGATCTTCTAGAAAATCCGGAGTCAATTTTGAGGCAGTTTTGTGACGGCATAGGAATTGAGTATACAGATAAACTGATGAGTTGGAATGCTGGAGATGGTATAGTACAGGAATGGAAGATACCGAAGGTGTTTTTACAAGGACACGAATTAATTGGCTATTATGAAAAAGCATTTTCTAGCCAGAAATTTGTTAAGCCTAATCCAGCGCCAGATCGAGCTGACTTGCCAAATGATGTCAACACTTGCATTGACGCAGCGATGCCCTATTACGAAAAAATGTACGCTCTCCGATTGACAGCAGAGAAGACAGATTTGGGGCTATAGGAGGGTGTATTTCCTCCTCACTGTAATTGATTTCTATGGTACTGTAAAATATTCAGTGCCGTTATTGTTCAGGTAGTTGATTGACAGAAGTTACAGGTGACAACTGATTAGTTAGGTCTACTCAGGTTGCTTTTGTAGTGGGTTAGTGGTGTTTGTTGATCACTAAGAGATATATTTAATAGTATGAGATACGGTATTGAGTAAATTAACATAAGATTTATATTCTAGTGAAGTTGACCCTTAAAAAAAAAACCATTACATTCATTAAACATTATGAACAAAAAAAATACGTATTATAATACATAGTAATAATAATGGTTCCACTTAGAAAGCGTATAATGCACTAGCTTCCATATGGTTCAAACTGCCGACAAGTTACGAAATAAACTTACACAGTCGAAAAAGTGTAGCTTTTGTTATATTTCAGTCTCATCTCGAATAGATAATGTAACGACTTCCCCCATTCTTGCGGGTATGCGCTCCTTAAAATCCAAACATATGTTGTTATATTACACATTTATTGCATATTCATTTCGGCCTTTCAAAACATCATATATCTCTTTCTGTAACCTATTTTCCATAAGCTGTTCTATGGTCTCCTAGCCATATTAAACCACCGTACTGTATATTTTGGACTAATATTTTATAACTAATCTATATGGACTGTATACTACATTAAATGAGGCATTATGGAGTTTTAAAATGGACTTTACTATAATAGTATATCATTACACAAACATTTTGCACAGTCATACAATTTTTTTTAATTCCTTTATTCTGAATACAAAATAACATTCATTGATGAAAAGACAATAAAGTACCAATAAAAAAGCAAACCTATTTCCATTCTGGTTCAAACTATTAAATATACAATACAAAATAAAAAACAGCCATTGATCTCAATTTTTTTTACATGATTAAAATAATAGCTAAGCATAGGGTGGTGGAGTACAAATTTTTAAAATAAAAGAGAAACGGCTTTCTATGTGAACTTCAAAGTTAGCTTATTATTTTTTTTTTCTCTTTTGCGGGTGTCTCCCAATTTTATATTTTGCAACAGAATATACAAAAAAGACCACGTCATTTTCATTACATTCATTACGAATGCATATGTTTTTTTCTAATTCAATATATTTTCCTTTATATTTTAGACTTGTGTTTACACCTAAGCTAGCACAATTTCCAACCTTAATAAAAGCCATTTCAGCAGATTTTTAAAATTAATATTTACATTAAAATATAATTTATACACTTATAAACGGGGCTGTTACACAGGATGTATTCAACATTTTACCAGAAATGTGTATTGTAAACACAAATTTTATCATTAGTTAAAAAAACCCCCCAAGATATGTGATGTTACTTATTGTCTTCCTTCTTTATAATACATTGTATTTCACGTATTAAGCAGATCATAAAGAGTAACCATAACAACGTTTATTTCAACTTAGCTTTATAAATTATGTTCTTTTAATTTTATATAATTTCTTACTTTATCATGACACTCACATAGAAAGTGCATTGCATTACATTGAACACTTAAAAGAGGATCAGCTCAATCACAATCATACCTCTTAAAGGTTAACTTTTAATACGATGTGCATATATTAGTTTGTATATCATTTTTTTTTCTATTTTTAAACATTTTGCAGAAAATTTACTTATACATAAAACCAGTAAACCAAGAAATAAAAATGAGCAGAAAGGGCTTTGCTAACAATATGGTGATCTATTGTCAATATGTACCATTGATCATTTAAAAACCTCATTTCTGGTTCACATACAATGACCTTTAAAAAAAAAACACTATATGTACACCGTTCGCCAGCGCGAAGGTCAGAGTGAGAGTCAAAATATTAAAAATATATATATATAAAGTGATTGCAGTTCCTAGTGGTCTGGCGAATTTCAACTTTTTCTGTCAGAAATGCCACCTACAAAGTCAAAAATAAAAACAATACATTTTGCATTGTCTAAGTATTAGTCAAAAAGTGACTGTAATTAAATCGGCTGCACGATGTACTGTGATAACGTACACTGTTCTTTTATTTATGTTTTTATTTTGATTTATGTCACAATGTATGGTTAATCAAAAATAAGTCACAGGGAGGATATACATGTGCGTTGATTCCTATAACCTTATTGAAAGGCATATATAATTTTATTATATTTTGTTTTTCCACGATTACACTATAAGAGAAACCCGGATTTTAATTGTTAGTTTTTAACTAATGATTTATTATTTCATTATTTTAGAGAATGCTATAAAAAAAAGGTCTTCAATGGTGTAGGTAGGCTAATTGTAGACTTAGAGGTTAACATTTACGAACACACTTTGATACTGTAGGCCTACATCAAAGAGAAATTCGAAAATGACCACCGAGCACTGAGAGACTGAAAATTAATACTGAACCGGAAGAATAGCAACGACATGAAGGGTATGTGAATTTCAAATCGAACAGCGTTGGAAGTGGAAAAATAAGTAAATGAAAATTTGAGAAGATATCTAAATAATAAGCGTAAAATACTGTATTAATTGGCAAGTAAAATGTAAAGTTTGCAGGCCTGTACATCCAGTAGATGGGGTGTTGCGAAGGGTATGCAACTGAGGGTGTGTATAACGTCCTCATTTCCAAGACAGTCGGGGATGTACTGAATATAAATTTGTGAGTTTCTGTTATTTAAAAATAAAACCTTAAATTTGTACATTTACCAGTAGGCCTAATTTACTCAGTCTGTCGTGATTCGGAAAAACGCAATTTATCCATTTTTTGAGATTCCGGCTTAGGGGCACCCTGTGGATGTAATCTATCATAGGAAGTGATCATATACTCCAGACAATTTTTTCGAAATATGATATTATTATGAGAGTTACGCATTGTATTCGTCCACCAAGCATTATATCCACTAGGCATTGAAATGTTGGCAATCAACCAATCATAGAAGACAATTATGCATATTTAATTACTTCCACCGATGGTGGCGGTACAATAATATTAAGTTTGGTTATGGTCAGAGTACAATTATTGAAAGAATTGCATTATATTATTTTTCCTTTAAGAAGAAGTAACGACTTAAAAGTTGTCATAAGATGAATTTTAGAACCATATTATTACCTAAGATTATTAGGTTACGGTAAACTTTCCACGTCGGCGCACGCGTGCACTGAAAACTTACGGTAAATATTTTTGGAAATTGGAATATGTGTAGAATGATATTGATAAATGTATAGGTGTAATTTAAAAGTGATATTGTTAAAATATCAGAATTCTCCGTACGATGCTATTAAGCATTTATAGAATGGACTTCCTAATGTTGTAATAATATTAGACTGTAAGGCCATTAACAAACAACATAAAACAAGATTTCCACGTCTTTGCATGCATAAAACGTATAATTTCCTAAAAATGTAGATGTATGAGATTGACAGTCAATAAAAATTCTCTCTACCCATCTATGCTAAGCATTTGAGGAGTGGACTTCTTTATGATTTAGGCCTAAGGAAATATAAATGTATATTGGTCCGAACTTTGAAAGTGACAGAGTGTTCTTCCTTATGTTGTGGTCATATTAGAATTTAATATTATCATTAAAGACTATTCAACAAACAACATGAAACCAGGCGCGGATCCAGGATATTCCATGAACTTTGTACAGATGGGGTGGTCCTTGCAGTTGTGGATCCAGAAATTCGAAATGGTGCCCAGAGAGGGACCATCACTGATAGACACCTCAGCCCACCATGATTGGGGCTGAGGTGAGAAAAATTAAGATTACGTCGCCTTAAAGCCCGGAAATGGCACTCTCGGGATTTGATTAGGCCGATAATTTTCAATTTTTTCTCCATACTTTAAAAATAATTTTGAAATATTTACGTGGGGCCCAGGCCGTCTGTGTTCCTGCCACTGCATATGGGGAACCTCTAACGCTCAGGTGACCTGGGGTTGTAAAACAAATATTGCTTATTACACAATTTCTATAAAAAGATAAACGAACATATTCTTGAGAGTGAGAGGACTTGATGGTTGTTATACAAGATTACTCAGACACGCCTTGAATATCAACTATAAACAACATATTACAAATAAAGACCTGTATGGAGATATTCCCCCAGTATCAAGAAGGCCGGTTAGCATTTGCTGGACATTGCTACAGAAGCAAAAATTAAGTTATTTCAAGGGTTCTATTTTAGAAACTAACCCATGGGAATAGGAAGCAAGGACTCCCCCGACTACATACATCGAGCAATTATAAAAGGATCTAAATACACAGCGGCAGTACCGGTACATTTCACAACTTATGGAAAACAGATTTATAGAGAACAGTTATAAAATAGTTAAAATTTTGCTCATCATTACGGAGCCCCTAAAGGGACATGGTTAAAAAAAAATATTAACCTATTTCAAGGGAACGAAAAAATATTTTGAGGAAACGAAATAATATTTCTAGAAACGAAATAATATTTCTAGGAAACGAAATATTATTTCGTTTCCTCGAAATCATTTTGAGGATCATTTCGTTCCCTCGAAATAGTATTTCTTTCAATCGCAATACTATTTCGTTCCCTCGAAATAATATTTCGTTCTTCCCTCGAAATAATATTTCGTTCTTCCCTCGAAATAATATTTCGTATATGGAACGCCAACAGTGCCTTCGGGGTCTCGGTTGATCGTTCGGGCTAGGCGAACTGGGCGAAGACAAGTTTCAAGATAAATACGAATTCTGATAGATAGCTGGGAAAAATTCTTGGAACTGCTGATCAAATAAAAGAACTGATTAAGAAGAAGGATAATTATATTATACAGTAGATATTTTTTTCTCTTTTTTGATGAACCATTACCTTTATTCATCACTACAATATCAAATGCAATTAAAAAGAATACATGTATCTATCAACGATATTCAGTTTTAACTTTTCAAATAACTTAAATTAAATTAAATTTAAAGAACAAAATACTCCAAACTTGTATTCTACATCTGAAAACCTTTTTTTTTTTTTTTTTTTTTTTTGAGATTGTTAAATTATCATTGTCCCACATAACTTTTATATACATGACTGTTTACTTTTATCTAAAAATAAAAAATATATATAAAAAGAAAATAATATCGATTGGGGAGCGAGCTGGTTTTCCGAGGGGTATATGCGCCCCAACGCATCCCCCTAGTTACGCCACTGTAGGGATATAATCCACATATTTAATTTGACTGTTAATATGAAACTTAATGTTTTACACTATCTCTGTTTTGGGGTGGGATAATGCACCGTTCTGCAACCTTTGAGTCACGACCCAATGTTTGGGTCGCGGAAAAATGTTGATGGGTCGCATAATCTCCGGGCATCAGGTGTACCATCACAAGAACCCGGCACAATTTAGTATTTTATAAATGACTGTATTAGGAAGATCGGGCCTCACCGTATATTGATGTAAGAAATGTCATTGAAATACACAAGACTTTATTAACAAGTTTTTTAACCAATTGGGAAATTTTAACATATAAAATCATTTTGGTTGTTGCCAAGAATCTGGAAAGGTAAGCGTAAGCGTAAATAACTGTTCCTCAGACCAGGGAGTTGTTATAGAATTGTAACATGTATGAAGACGCTTTAATCTTAAACTTGTTTCACTCTCTGATAGGAGGACATCTCACTGCTACAAGCTTGCAAAAAACCTCTCTAACATGAATCATTCTTTTGACTTCACCGACCCGCCGTTTCGAAAGTCACGGTGGCGTGCATTTCAATACTTGGAGTATGTATTATACTTTCTTGTAGAAATCTTCGTAATAAGAATAATTTCACTCAACTTAATTGTAAAACGAAACGTTTCTTAAATAGCCCAGTTCCATTACATAAAACTTATTAACCAACATGAAACATGACATGCTGTATACTTAGTATAGTGGTTTTGAAAGCAAAACGTTAAATAATGTGTTGGTATGATTTATTTTTAAATATTTAGCAAAATATAGCTTTTATTAGGATTTGGCTGTTTGGCTAATGACAGCTTAACACTGCTGGAGTATTGTGTCTGAACATTTCGTATAAGATTGTATTTAATTAATGTCAGACAACATAGAAAATAAAGATAATCTGACCGAAATGCTGTTTGAATCAGTGTTGTTTATTCAGGGTGTTCATGGTCAATTCAACTATAAAAATAATTTTATTAAAACATATATAAAAACACTTTTAAAAAACCTCCGCATCCTTAGATTTTTGGAAGCAGGAGAGCCTTGAGACAAACAATTAAATTAATGGCCTGATGATTGCTGGTTTGACCATGTTTGACCGTCATCCTCAACACACAACGAGTACAGTCTGTACCAAGTTTGATATTTGGTTTTATGTAGTTATTTTTCATGTTTGTGCGATTGTTTAGATTGTGCCACTGTAGTAAAGTGATTCCGAATAAAACTAAAACTAAACTGGTGACGCGTAACACCTAATGCATATGCATGAACTTGTACGCAAACGTGGAAGAAGAGACTTTGTAGCACCTGGAGTTAAAAGTAGGCTATTTCAGTAACGTAGTTGTATCTTCAATAATGTTTGTTTCAATAATGTTTGTTTGGAGCTCATAATTTCTTCCCTGGTAAGTACTAATTCGTTAGGTGCTAAGTATTCGGGAAAATAGGTCATGAAATAACTTGGGACTGGTTCAGAAACTAAATCAACTCGTTGTGGAGCCAGAGCAGACGCTCACTGTACTGTATTTCTTTTACTTTGCATAGATAGGCCTGCCATATGTCAAGGGGATGTTCCGCTGCGAGCACCTAAGGGGAAGTGGCTATCGGCACTGTCGCAGTGCGAAAAACGCTGTTGTTTTCTCGCCACTGCCGCAGTCCGAAAAAAGCTGTTCTTTTAGCATTGTCGCAGTGCAAAAAAACTGTGGTTTTTTATCGCTACTGCTGCAGTGCCAAAAACTACAGTTTTCTATCGGCACTGCCACAGTCGAAAGGCTGCTGTTTAATCGAAATTGATGTTTTGATTGATAGATGATACATTATTGTATCAATAATTTATTTGGTCTAGCCCTATATTATTGTTATTGGTCATACTCTTAGTCAAAAACCGTCAACAACAACGTCAACATAATTAACTAGTGTCAACAATCATCAACATAGTCTACTAATTATTGCAATTAAATATAATTATTTATAAGTATTAAATATATTATATATACCGTATATATGTATATATATATATATATAGGCTATATATGGTATGTATACGTATGCATATATGTGTATATATATATATACACACATATATACATATATATACACACACATATATACATACATATTATATATATATATATATATATATATATATATATATATTATGGAAGT